ACAGTATATATATATATATATATATATAAAACATGTGAGTCAAGTACGAAAATTTATTTTTCTTATAATGTTAACGGCCACGTCTTGGTGGTCGTACATTTTCACCCTGACCTTGGTATTACTATTGATTCTAAGTTTTAATGAGCATATAAAACAGATTTGCTGCAAAAGTAATAGAATGCTAGGCCTAATTAAGCGCAACTGTTGGAATATTAAGAACCAAAAAACATTATTAACTAATCTGTATTGTTTACTTGTTAGACCTTATATCGAATTCAATTCTGTAATTTTTAATTGCATGTCTAATGCCTTACTAAAATCAATATTATTCAAAAACGATTTGTTAAATTTGTTTCTCGTACTTGTATTATCCCTTCCAATTATATCATTCTTCCTACTTTAAGTAGACTAAATTACCTTGATTCTCTCTTTTTATAACTGCGTTAATGGAGTTTATGGTCCTGATCATATTTCCAATTTTGGTTTATCTGTTAAAAATTATCGATGTCGTAATTCTATCAGTTCCTTATTCAATGTTAAATAAAATAAAATAAAATAAACGACAGAGATTGACGTGTTACGGAATTGACGTAGCCTATACGTATATATATATATATATATATATATATATATTATATATATATATATATACATATATATAGCATACATAGCATATATATAATATGCCTATGTTATATGTTTGTATTTCGTTAATGGTGCTACGCAGCAAAATTAACAGCAACATTAAAATATTAAAATATGGTCTATACATAATATAAGCCTAGGCCTATATATATATAAACATACGTAATTATATACGTAGAGAAGAAAAAATGTGTTTGTATTGAATATCGACAAAAAGTACTAAATTATTCAATGAAAATCGAGACTTTATACACACAACACAATTTATTGATAATAATTCATCCATGTTGGTTTACGATGTAGAAAACAACACAACAGTAACCATTTAACAACAGTTGACTAAAGAATGTAGAAAAGTTTTATCCGTAAATTTAAATAAATTGACTAAAAATCATTTATATAGCGCCTTTACAAAGCGCTGTACATCCAAACCCACTATTATAAAGATAAAAGTACGTACAATATTTTAAATCAATCAATAAATATAGCAAGTACAAATATTCGCTATAATATTTATACAAATTATTTCCGATTTATATAAACTCGTGATGTAGGCATATTATTATATCGAATATAAACACACTACATTATGTCATTATAATCTAATTTATATCACATTATTTTTTAGAAATCACATTCCATTCCGCAAACATAATCGCAACTTCTTCCAATGTGGCAAACCATCTTGCACACGCCGCGGCAACCGCGTTTCTGTCGCGTTTCCTGCTCACCTTCAGCATGAATTTCACTCCATAATATGTTTCTAGCGCCACTGCAAACGTGTTTCATATCGCGGGTAGCTGTGTGGCTGAAGTACTGACGGTTAATCTCTGAAATTGGTACCAGCCTGTACTTGAACACACTTGATGGGTTTTCCTGTGCCTGGAATGATTAAGATAATAGCGATTGTCACGTTAGAACTTTATCCTACCAGATGCGTATTGCCTTAATATTTAAATAGTATGCACGTTTCAAAACTGATCTGCCTTCCTCTGGCATAGATGTACCAGTACCAATACAGTAAATATATTCTTTTGTTAATGTGTTATAGCGTTAGGATTATTGTTAGTATAACCCATTTGCGTATGTTGAGTTTTAGTGTACTAGTGGTATTATATCTAACGGTTATCGTTATACAAATACCTATTCGTTATAATAGGTCACAAACAAAAAATAAGGAATATAATAGCATGCACTGTAAAGTGTAAACGTGAGATTTTTGTTGTCGTCAAATCTTAGTGATTATTGTACGAAGATATACCATATCCATCAACACAGTGCCTACTCTATGACCAAAACTAAAATAACGATCCAATAGAAATGGTATACAGAGTATCAACTCTTGATGAAATTTTCCTCAATAATTATCAATTGTATTTGGAGAAAGAAAATGATGACGTACGCTTACCGATCTTGTATCATTGTACTCTGCGAGGCTGGATATATAGCAAAAGTCGTGGGTACTGAATCGATGAAGAAGTAGTCCCTGTGAAAAATTAGCTCAATTTTAATAATACTGAATCTAATTTAAAAAGCAAGGAACGAGTTATTGAAATGTATAGTAAGGATTCATTTTCTTTATTCAATTACATTATTTATAGTGGATAACCTGTTTAAATTATCATTAGAGTTCACGGAAGAAAGCATACGGGATATAGATGGGTTGGTTACATAACCTCTTAAACGCATACACACGTTATTTCAAAATAATAATAATAATAATAATAATAAAAATAATAATAATAATAATAATAAAAATAATATTATATATTATTATTATATATTATTATTATATATTATTATGATATATTATTATGATATATTATTATGATATATTATTATGATATATTATTATGATATATTATTATGATATATTATTATGATATATTATTATGATATATTATTATGATATATTTTAATGATATAATATTATTATGATATATTTTAATGATATATTTTAATGATATATTTTAATGATATATTATTATTGTTATATTATTATTGTTATATTATTATTGTTATATTATTATTGTTATATTATTATTGTTATATTATTATTGTTATTATTATACATAATACATATAATACATACAATAATACATATAATATATAATCATTTAAAACCTATACATGAATACACATGCCTACATATGAACCTCAACAACACCCGGCCGGGCCGCCGATATGTTTGTTGATTTTTTTCCGTGACACTTACATGAGTGACGTCAGTGAAAACTGTCAAAGCTGTGGACCCCTGTTCAGCCTCTACATCTATTATAATGCCGTCATCAGTTTCTTCTAAAGTTTCGGTCAAAAATTGCCCTTCAACATAGAAAGTTTTCTCAACCTTCATCTGTAGTAAAACAGAAATGAGTTTATTTCCGTTAATGGTTCTTATACTTCAAAGCATTGACCTGGATGTGTTTATCCGTACATCTGCGACGCGGACGTTATCAATTTCGTCGAACGTTGTTGAACAAGCAAATCTGAACATCCAAACGCTTGTTGGTTATGGATTTGTGCATACATTGTTCATTTTTTGTTAATTAAATCTGACTAAACTAAATTCAAGAAATATAGCTAATATCAAGTATAGGTATAGTACCGATAAACCATTCCTTATTTTTAATTAAGTATACAGAGCTCGAACTCACCTTGTGTTGAAAGCTGTCGACATCTTGGGTACCCGTTGTGTCTGCTGGCGCACCATACACACAACCAAGAAAGAGGCAAAAAACCACTGCTTGTATTACTTTGCCCATGTTGTAGTGTAAGTTTCGTTACAATGTAAAACTTTACTTCAAGAATTGAATGAATGATCACTTGTTCTCTCCGTGATTAAATTTAACGGAATTGATGATGACTTGAGAAATGTGTCTCTTTTATATAGTATCTTGTAAATATTTACACATAATAACCATGGTAACTATCGCTCAATCATTCGATATATATATTTTGTAAACATCAAATCTTTCGCGCCCTCCATTCCTGGAAAGTTCTTTAATTGATAAGAAAATTTATTTATTATTGCTCTCTCTTTATTTACTAACCTGTTGAATAGGCATTGTTTCCCGACTTGTAGAAACAAAAAATATCAAGGAAATTCTACTGTGTTGAGGTTGAGGTGCACGATGACCACTGCTAGCCCCTGGGATACATACTTATATACAGTTTGTGGGGGGATTCCCCGTCTAAGTAAAGCAATTGCAATTTATCAAATAAACTACTTTTCATCTGGCGTGATATTGACTCTGAGCATGGAGGTTAACTAACCTTTATATTTTTAGTGGTAATCACAGTGGTTCAATCAAATTGTGCAATTATTATATAACAAACACAAACTGATGACGCAAAATGGATAAGGTAAATAGAAATATTAGTTCTAATGAAGGCGTGCTTTACAAATTTAAGAAGTTTATTCCTTCATCAATTTTGTTATTGTATAATTATTTTTATATTCATGTGTGGGAAAGTACATAATGACGTAACGTACTTAAAACCAACACATCTCAAAAATGAATAGTACGCATTACAACACATTCAGACAAAATAGCACACACACAGACACACATACACACACGCACACACACACACACACACACACATATATATATATATATATATATA